TCACCTTTCGGAAAACATTCTGAAAGGTTTAGCCTATTGGAATGAACCTTCTGAAAGGTTTGCATTGACCTTCCGAAAGATTTTACCCAGAATACCCAGAACACCTGTAACTCATGCTCCACTTGCTTGGGGGTCCCACCTATGATTCTCCCACTTGTCCCCTGACATATTCTATATATATATACAGGCCTCCTACACCTCAAAGTCAGCAAAAGAAGATGGAGGATGGGAGAGGAGGAGAGAGAAAGATGGAGGCATGGTGGGTTGCAGGCTAGCCTTGTCCTAGCCTGTCCAAGCATCAAATCACTTTCTATGGATAGGAAGCCTGCACACATAGACTGTGGGGAGCCTCATGGACGAAAATGCATCATTCACACACCATATATTCAACATTCCACAAGATTTTGGGGGTGGCTACCTAAGCTTAGAAGTAGCTCTAAGGAAGATGATGAATAGTAGAGATAGAAATTTATGTTTTTGCATTGTCTCCTCCATTTCAGTTGTAGTATGCTTTAAATATCTTATAATCTTTATTTCTTGCACTTTAATCTTAGCTATTTCAAGTGTATTCCAAGTTTAGTTACATGTTCTTCAATTCACCATTAATGCTTTCAAGTTCTTCACTTTCAAGCTTTAAAATGGGTATTGCATATTTTTCTTTATAGTTTAAGATTTCTTGCTTTAAGTTAAGTTTCATGTTTCCTTTCTTCATTATGTCTCTTTAAATTATGCATGTCTTTCCTTTGATCATGAGTAGCTAGATTTTTAGTTGGCTAATCCAAGGGAGATCTCCTCTTGGGTTTGCCATTTCAACTCATTTTTCTTTCCTCCTTTCGGTGTACGATGATTCGGTTTAAATGGGTTGGGTGTGGATGCGGTTGTGAGTCTTTGATATCCCATAGGCCTTGTCATGGGTTATGCTTGGATCCTCACTTCCATCTCGTTTCTCGCTTTCTACGAATCAATCGTTCATCTATGCACCATTAGAGGAAGGTTTCGAGTTGACTTGGCATTCCCATTGGAGTGAACCATTTGGATTAGCCAACACTTGTTTCCCATTTCATTTTCCTTAAGAACGCAACTCACCAAACTCAAACATCAAAAATATTTTACACTTTGCATTTTTCACAAAATCACCTTCATATAATTCACTTCCTTCTCTGAGGAGACGACCTTAGAATACTCATTCCAAGTAAAAAAAGATAAGCAAAAGTCTCTCTGCGCTTGGGGAGCACTTTTGTTCACACACACACACATCCTCATTCATTTCATTCCACCACACATCCGTTTGCCCCATTGCTTGCATTGAACCCGAGTGAGAGTGACACTCACCCACTTACATAAGCCATATATACATTAAGGGTTCATGTTAGGACATTAGGGAATATAACAGAAACCATCAAGCACATACCAACCACCACAAAAGAGAAGTTTTGAGGACACACTGAATCAGTTCATGCAAAACCAAATGAACTACAACAGTCATTCTACTCAAGCATTCATTGATTTTAAAACTCAGACCACTTAGTCTTTTGAGGATCTTAAAAGCTACATCCAAAAGTTGAATCAATCTATGACCACAAATGAGAAGGGCAAATTTCCTGCCCAACCAAAACAACCACAAGGGAAATTTCATGTGGGAAATCCTTCAATTATGGAAAATCCACAAGACCAAGCTCAAGCTATCACTACACTGAGAAGTGGCAAGGTGATTGAAAAAACTATCAGAGACATGTTAATTTCAAAGACAAAACCTAAGTCAATCCCAGTCAATAAACTAGTAGAGCCTGAACCTGTGATTGAAGAAAAACCTGAACCTGTGATTGAAAAGGAACCAGAATCGTCAAAGGAAAAAAATCCTTCGTGTCCTTTTTCCGCTCCTTTTCCTCAAAGACTCAAAACAATATAGAAGTTGAAAAACCATCCAGAAATTTACGAGCTTTTCAAGCAAGATCAATATTCCACTTCTAGATGCAATCAAGCAGGTTCCTTCTTATGCCAAGTTTCTAAAAGATTTGTGCACAATAAAAAGAAGCCAGAATGTCCAAAAAAGAGCCTTTTTGACAGAACAAGTCAGTGCCCTACTTCAATACAAAACCCCTCCAAAATACAAGGATCTAGGATGTCCAACTGTGTCATTGGAAATTACAGAATATAACAAGCACTGCTGGATGTTGGAGCCAATGTTAATTTACTCCCTTTCTCTATCTACCAACAATTGGGTCTGGGTGAACTCAAATTCACTTGTGTCACACTCTAGTTAGCAGACAAGTCTGTCAAAGTTACTAGGGACATTGTTGAGGATGTACTTGTCTAAGTGGACAACTTTGTCCTTTCTGTTGACTTCATTGTTCTAGATACTCAGCCAACAATGCATTCAGAGAATCAAATTCCCGTCATTCTTGGTTGACCCTTCCTAACAACTTCAAATGCATTAATAAATTATAGGAATGGAGTCATGAAATTAATTTTTAGAAATATGACTCTTGAGCTTAATATTTTTAATATTGCCAAGCACCCAAGAGAGGACAAGGAAGTGAGAGAAATAAATTTTATTGAGTCTCTAATACATGAACATTTGAATGACACATTTTGTGAAAACTCTATTGAAACTATTAAAATGATGATCAAAATGATGAAACTCTGTTGAAACAAAATGATGATCAAAATCTAAAGAGTTGTCATGTTCATACTGTTGGGACATGGACACCCAAATTTGAAGAACTCTCACCAAATGGCACAAAACTGCTCTCATCAAGTGTCAAGCCACCAAAGCCTGAATTAAAACTTTTTCCATCTGATCTCAAATATGCATTCTTAGGGGAGGACGAGTCATACCCAGTGGGTAAAAGTCCATTAATCTGCAATTATGCTATATACCTTGAGGAGGATTCAAAACCCTTTCGTCAAATACAGCGACGATTGAACCCCCATCTGAAGGAGGTTGTGAGGATTGAGGTGCTCAACCTATTAGATGCAAGAATAATATTTCCCATCTCTAATATTAAATGGGTTAGCCCAACCCAAGTTGTGCCTAAGAAATCTAGAGTCATAGTGGTTAAAAATGATGTCAATGAACTGGTACCAACTCGAGTTGTCACAAGATGGCGGATGTGCATAGACTATTGAAAAGAAAGACCATTTTTCTCTTCCCTTTCTTGATTAATTCTAAGAGAGAATTGCAGGTCATGCATTCTACTATTTCCTGGATAGATATTTTGGGTATAATCAAATTAAGATAACACTAGATGACCAAGAGAAAACAACATTCAGATGCCTCTTTGGCACTTTTGCATTCAAAAGGACGCCGTTTAGAATTTGTAACTCTCCTGCAACATTCTAAATGTGCATGTTGAGTTTGTTTAGTGACATGGTTGAGAGATTTTTGAAAGTGTTCATGGATGACTTTTCTATATATGGTGGCTCGTTTGATTTGTGTCTGACAAACCTGGAGAAGGTGTTGATAAGATGTAAGGAAACCAATCTAGTGCTCAATTGGAAGAAATTCCATTTTGTGTTAACACAAGACATTGTATTGGGTCACATTGTATCGTCTGAAGGCATAAAAGTTGACAAGNCGGACACCTTATCATGCAAACCCAATAGCCAAATACTCCTTCACATCCATGTACCTAAAGTGGAAATATGGGAAGAGATTAGGCAAGTTTCAAAGGATGACGCATACGTGAAATCCGTGGGCCATATGGTTAAGGACCAAGCAAACGGGCCTTACAAATGGTGCAATGGGCTTCTTTTGTTCAAAAACAAGGTAATAGTTCCTTCTAATGCTAACATTCGGGCCAAGTTATTGCATGAGGTTCACAATTCCAATATAGAAGGGCATTTGGGAGTCTTGTGCACATTTAAAAAATTATCACAACAATTTTATTGGCCACGCATATACCAGTCGATTCAGGAGTATGTTAAAAGCTGCGAGGTATGTCAAAAAGTAAAATATGAGAATTTGGCACTCGATGGCCTTCTCCAACCTCTTCCCATTCCTTGCCAAGTGTGGGATGATATTACTTTAGATTTCATTGAAGGTTTGCCCACTTCGGGCCGCCAAGATACAATACTAGTAGTTGTTGATAGATTAAGCAAATCAGCTCATTTTCTTGCTTTAACTCACCCTTTTACAGCTAAGATAGTGGCATACAAATTCATGGAAAGTGTGATTAAGTTGCATGGCCTACCTCAGTCTATTATTAGTGACTGTGACCCAATATTTATTAGCAATTTTTGGAAAGAGTTATTAAAAATTTCAGGTGATAAGCTGCGACTTAGTTCTGCCTAGCACCCACAAATGGATGGATAGATGGAGGGGGTTAACCGTTGTGTGGAACAATATTTACATAGCTTTGCCCACTAGTGGCCGCGAAAATGGTGTGCCTACCTACAATGGGTGGAGCTGTGGTATAATACCACTTATCATGCTTCTGCGGGTATGACTCCATTCCAGGTGTTATATGGGCGCCCTCCTCCACCCATTCAGCTTATCAAGATGGCTTATTAGCTGTAAATGAGGTGGACCAGAGCTTAATGTCAAGAGATGAGCTGCTTAAAAATTTGAAGAATAAATTGGAGGTGTCCATTAATAGAATGAAATAAGTGGCTGATCTTAAGATGAGAGATGTTACGTTTGAAGTTGGAGATTTGGTGTTCCTCATGCTCCATCTGCACCGTCAACAATCAACTTTCAGGTGTGCCCACCAAAAGCTTGCTGCCTGATTCTTTAGGCCCTATCCCATTGTGCAAAAATAGGAGCTATCGCCTATAAACTCCAACTGCCAGATGGACCCCGCATTCAACCAGTTTTCAACGTCTCCTTGCTAAAAAAGTTTGTTGGTGAGCATACAATGCCTACTAACGAGTTCCCTCTAATTTCGGAGGAAGGCGTTATCCTCCTCGAGCCTCAGCATATTCTGGATACTCGTGGGGTCAAACAAGGCTCTACTTTTGTGAAAGAAAGTTTAGTTCAGTGGAAACACTTACTTACATAGGAGGCAACGTGGGAAAACACTCAATTGTTGCTCGACCAATTCTCCGATGTGGACCTTGAGGACAAGAGTCCACTGAGATGGGGGAGTGTTGATGAGCCGATAAGGTTGGCCATGCTACCAAAACCAATCCCAAATATCAGGGATGATGATGGACGTGAGAAGACTGTTGGAGGCAATTAGGAGATTAGGTTGAATGAGTCAGCATTTATGTTTTTATTTCTTGTTATTTCTTTTAATCCAGTAGTGCAGTAGTGGTACTTTATTAGTGTAGTAGTGGTCTTTTATTTCAGCAACTTGTACGTAGAAGTAGTTGGGCTTTACTTATTTAAGCAGCCTAAGACAAGAATAAAGGAATGGAAGGAATTATTATTTGGTATATAGGTTAGTCTTTTTCCATAAACAAAGATATTTCGTGTGAATGCTTACAAGGTGATTGGGACCATCACACTCTGATTAATGCAACACTTTCTGCAACAACACTTTCATGTGTTGTTGGTTATAATACATGCAGAGATGTTTGACAAGCTTTGGAGAGAACTTTCTCCATATGGAGCGAACATGCTTCAGTTGAAGACCAATCTGTAAACCATTCAAAAAGTTTCAGATTCTGTAGATCTATACATACAAAAGATTAAAGAGGCAAAAGATAAACTAGCAGTAGTTTCTATACAAGTAGATGATGATGTGTTGATATACATATTGAATGGCTTACCAACAGAGTTTAATGCATTTTGAACTCAATTCGCACCAGATACTTCATGTTTTTTTTCAAGTTGAGGAGAATATTATTGAAAGATATAATAAACAAATTCAACTTCAACAATTTCCCACAGCTTTTTAACCTTTCAAATAATTATAGAAACAACTATGGAAACTCAAACAATCATGGTAGAGGATCTTCTAACTCAAATAGAAGTTGTGGAAGATATTATAATCAAGGAGAAAGAAACAATGCTTCTAAAGGTTTTATACCAAATTTCAGTCCAAATTAAGATGGTAATCCTTCACAAAATCAGAATGTCTATCCTAAGCCTAATTTTTAAGGGTCTCAAAACACACAAGGGAGAGTTATATGCCAAATATGCAATAAACCTGGTCATTTGGAAATAAACTGCTATCATCGAATGGATTTTGCTTATTAAGGCAACATTCCTTCACCAAAACTTCTTGTTATAGCTGCCTCCTCCAATTCATCATAGCAACAACCTAATGTTTGACTCACAGACATAGGTGCTACATCACTACTAATCTAAACAACCTCTACCTCTCAGAAACTTATCGAGGTTCAAACATTATTTCCATTGGCAATGGAGAGGGTCTTCAAATAGAAAATATAGGTCAAGCTTCTTTTCTTACATATTCCAAATCCTTTCTACTAGATAACATCCTTAATATTCCTTAAATTACTTCCATTTTGTTTTATGTGCATCAGTTTTGTTTAGACAACAACTATGCATTTATTTTTGAATTTCTTGGATTCCAAATTTAGGACAAGGAGATTGAAAATGGACTCCATCCCTTCAAATCAATTTTAGCATCTGCTATTGCTTCATCTTCACCAGTTTTTACTCATCTAGGGAGAGCTACATCACCACAACTGTGGCATCCCTCAGATATTGTTGTTATACAAATTCTTTCTACATCTAAGATTCATGTTTCTAAAAAAAAGTAATCACCTTGCTTTTGTAAAATACTTCCTTTATGGCAAGATGACAAGACAGTCATTTCAATTGTCTAAATTTGTGTCTATGTGTCCTCTTGAATTAATACATAGCAATGTCTAGTGGTCAACAACAGACTCCTCCATGCATGGTTTTAACTATTATGTATGCTTTATTGATGATTAAAGCAGGTACAATTGGATTTTTCCTGTGGTTCAAAAGTCAGAAGTTCCCAATATTTTTCAACAGTTTAAAGCACAAGTTGAGCATTCTTTCTCAACAAGGATTCAGAAACTTCGCACAGATGGTGGAGGAAAGTTATGTCATTCATCCTTTCATAAGTTATTTTATAATTCAGGCATCCAACATCAAAGATCTTGCCCTTACACACCTCAGGAAAACTGTGTTACTGAAAGAAAGCATAGGCATGTGGTTGAAACTGTCATCGCTCCCATGACCAAAGCCTTATTACCTTCCTTTATTTGGTATCATGCCTTTGCAACAACTGTTTATCTTATAAATAGGCTACCAAGTTCTAACACTCATAATAAGTCTTCTTATCAACCTCTTTTTGGAACCTTACCTGATTATAAGCATCTCATAACTTTTGGTTGTGCCTGATACCTTACTTGAGACCTTATAATCACTCCCAGTTACTGCCTAAAACTACTCAATGTATTTTTCTTGGATATGTCCCAACCTATTAGGGTTATCTTTGCTTTAAATCATGTTCTATTCATTTTTACACTTCTAGGTATGTTCACTTTGATGAAGACACCTTTCCCTATGCTACTAGTTCATCTTCTGAACTTGTTCCCTCTTCTTCCATACTTGGACCACATTCTTCTTCTGCTATTTTCAATCCATTACTATAATTATCCTTTACTGGTGGTCTTGGATTTATCCATCCTGTACATTCTGAGTAGTCTGTCTCATCATTTTTTGATAGACAATCTGCATCNTGGGCAACCGAGTACGTGGGTGGACTCAAAAATCTTTGGTCGGGACCTTCATGGGTGGACTAAAGACAGAAATTTCTGATGGCATCAGAATGTTTAAGCTGCAAAACTTGAAGGATGCCATCAGCCTAGCACGAATGAAGGATGACCAACTCTCAAGGCAGAGACGATTCTTGCGGCCATCACCAGCGCGAGCCCCTCTAGATCTCCAATCCACTACGCCAGCAGCTCGGGCAACTCCCAATGCTCCTATTGCTCTGGTTTGGAGATTGCCTTGGGATGAAATGCAATGTTGAAGAGCATAGGGATTGTGCTTCCACTGCAACGAGAGATTTACAACTAGACACTAGTGCCAATGCCTAGAGTTGCTGCTCCTAGAAGAACCCCCCGACGTGGGCAACGTCATCTGTGAGGAAGTTACCGAGCAGTTGCTGCAGAAGGAAGACCACGAGGAGTTTCACGAACACGAAACTGAGCCGAAGATCACCTTTCATGCTTTGATCGGGTGGACAGCACCTAAGACGATGTGAATGATGACCAAGCTTGGTTCCCATGAAGTTATTGTATTAGTTGATAGTGGGTCAACCCACAACTTGTCAGTGAGAGAATTTCTAGGCTACTTCTGATGCCAGTGGTGCCAACCAAACCATTTACAGTTCGGGTAGCCAATGGAGAAAATATGAAGTGTCAAGGCCGGTTTGAAGGTGTACGAGTGGACCTCCAAGGCACTCCATTTTCCTTAACTTTTTATTCTCTTCCACTCACGGGGCTAGATCTAGTCTTGGGGATCCAATGGTTCAAAATGTTGGGTTCAGTAACTTGCAATTGGGAAAAACTGACCATGAAGTTTATTTGGGAGAATTGAGCAAGAAAATTACAAGGGTTGGGTGCTTAGAGCATTCGAGAGGCCTCACTTAAAGAGTTGTCCAAAGAATTTGGCCTAAAGTATGAGTTGTTTGTTGTATGTTTCCAATTAAGGGAAGAAACAGNCTTACAAATGGTGCAATGGGCTTCTTTTGTTCAAAAACAAGGTAATAGTTCCTTCTAATGCTAACATTCGGGCCAAGTTATTGCATGAGGTTCACAATTCCAATATAGAAGGGCATTTGGGAGTCTTGTGCACATTTAAAAAATTATCACAACAATTTTATTGGCCACGCATATACCAGTCGATTCAGGAGTATGTTAAAAGCTGCGAGGTATGTCAAAAAGTAAAATATGAGAATTTGGCACTCGATGGCCTTCTCCAACCTCTTCCCATTCCTTGCCAAGTGTGGGATGATATTACTTTAGATTTCATTGAAGGTTTGCCCACTTCGGGCCGCCAAGATACAATACTAGTAGTTGTTGATAGATTAAGCAAATCAGCTCATTTTCTTGCTTTAACTCACCCTTTTACAGCTAAGATAGTGGCATACAAATTCATGGAAAGTGTGATTAAGTTGCATGGCCTACCTCAGTCTATTATTAGTGACTGTGACCCAATATTTATTAGCAATTTTTGGAAAGAGTTATTAAAAATTTCAGGTGATAAGCTGCGACTTAGTTCTGCCTAGCACCCACAAATGGATGGATAGATGGAGGGGGTTAACCGTTGTGTGGAACAATATTTACATAGCTTTGCCCACTAGTGGCCGCGAAAATGGTGTGCCTACCTACAATGGGTGGAGCTGTGGTATAATACCACTTATCATGCTTCTACGGGTATGACTCCATTCCAGGTGTTATATGGGCGCCCTCCTCCACCCATTCAGCTTATCAAGATGGCTTATTAGCTGTAAATGAGGTGGACCAGAGCTTAATGTCAAGAGATGAGCTGCTTAAAAAATTGAAGAATAAATTGGAGGTGTCCATTAATAGAATGAAACAAGTGGCTGATCTCAAGAGGAGAGATGTTACGTTTGAAGTTGGAGATTTGGTGTTCCTCATGCTCCATCTGCACCGTCAACAGTCAACTTTCAGGTGTGCCCACCAAAAGCTTGCTGCCTGATTCTTTAGGCCCTATCCCATTGTGCAAAAATAGGAGCTATCGCCTATAAACTCCAACTGCCAGATGGACCCCGCATTCAACCAGTTTTCAACGTCTCCTTGCTAAAAAAGTTTGTTGGTGAGCATACAATGCCTACTAACGAGTTCCCTCTAATTTCGGAGGAAGGCGTTATCCTCCTCGAGCCTCAGCATATTCTGGATACTCGTGGGGTCAAACAAGGCTCTACTTTTGTGAAAGAAAGTTTAGTTCAGTGGAAACACTTACTTACATAGGAGGCAACGTGGGAAAACACTCAATTGTTGCTCGACCAATTCTCCGATGTGGACCTTGAGGACAAGAGTCCACTGAGATGGGGGAGTGTTGATGAGCCGATAAGGTTGGCCATGCTACCAAAACCAATCCCAAATATCAGGGATGATGATGGACGTGAGAAGACTGTTGGAGGCAATTAGGAGATTAGGTTGAATGAGTCAACATTTATGTTTTTATTTCTTGTTATTTCTTTTAATCCAGTAGTGCAGTAGTGGTACTTTATTAGTGTAGTAGTGGTCTTTTATTTCAGCAACTTGTACGTAGAAGTAGTTGGGCTTTACTTATTTAAGCAGCCTAAGACAAGAATAAAGGAATGGAAGGAATTATTATTTGGTATATAGGTTAGTCTTTTTCCATAAACAAAGATATTTCGTGTGAATGCTTACAAGGTGATTGGGACCATCACACTCTGATTAATGCAACACTTTCTGCAACAACACTTTCATGTGTTGTTGGTTATAATACATGCAGAGATGTTTGACAAGCTTTGGAGAGAACTTTCTCCATATGGAGCGAACATGCTTCAGTTGAAGACCAATCTGTAAACCATTCAAAAAGTTTCAGATTCTGTAGATCTATACATACAGAAGATTAAAGAGGCAAAAGATAAACTAGCAGTAGTTTCTATACAAGTAGATGATGATGTGTTGATATACATATTGAATGGCTTACCAACAGAGTTTAATGCATTTTGAACTCAATTCGCACCAGATACTTCATGTTTTTTTTCAAGTTGAGGAGAATATTATTGAAAGATATAATAAACAAATTCAACTTCAACAATTTCCCACAGCTTTTTAACCTTTCAAATAATTATAGAAACAACTATGGAAACTCAAACAATCATGGTAGAGGATCTTCTAACTCAAATAGAAGTTGTGGAAGATATTATAATCAAGGAGAAAGAAACAATGCTTCTAAAGGTTTTATACCAAATTTCAGTCCAAATTAAGATGGTAATCCTTCACAAAATCAGAATGTCTATCCTAAGCCTAATTTTTAAGGGTCTCAAAACACACAAGGGAGAGTTATATGCCAAATATGCAATAAACCTGGTCATTTGGAAATAAACTGCTATCATCGAATGGATTTTGCTTATTAAGGCAACATTCCTTCACCAAAACTTCTTGTTATAGCTGTCTCCTCCAATTCATCATAGCAACAACCTAATGTTTGACTCACAGACATAGGTGCTACATCACTACTAATCTAAACAACCTCTACCTCTCAGAAACTTATCGAGGTTCAAACATTATTTCCATTGGCAATGGAGAGGGTCTTCAAATAGAAAATATAGGTCAAGCTTCTTTTCTTACATATTCCAAATCCTTTCTACTAGATAACATCCTTAATATTCCTTAAATTACTTCCATTTTGTTTTATGTGCATCAGTTTTGTTTAGACAACAACTATGCATTTATTTTTGAATTTCTTGGATTCCAAATTTAGGACAAGGAGATTGAAAATGGACTCCATCCCTTCAAATCAATTTTAGCATCTGCTATTGCTTCATCTTCACCAGTTTTTACTCATCTAGGGAGAACTACATCACCACAACTGTGGCATCCCTCAGATATTGTTGTTATACAAATTCTTTCTACATCTAAGATTCATGTTTCTAAAAAAAAGTAATCACCTTGCTTTTGTAAAATACTTCCTTTATGGCAAGATGACAAGACAGTCATTTCAATTGTCTAAATTTGTGTCTATGTGTCCTCTTGAATTAATACATAGCAATGTCTAGTGGTCAACAACAGACTCCTCCATGCATGGTTTTAACTATTATGTATGCTTTATTGATGATTAAAGCAGGTACAATTGGATTTTTCCTGTGGTTCAAAAGTCAGAAGTTCCCAATATTTTTCAACAGTTTAAAGCACAAGTTGAGCATTCTTTCTCAACAAGGATTCAGAAACTTCGCACAGATGGTGGAGGAAAGTTATGTCATTCATCCTTTCATAAGTTATTTTATAATTCAGGCATCCAACATCAAAGATCTTGCCCTTACACACCTCAGGAAAACTGTGTTACTGAAAGAAAGCATAGGCATGTGGTTGAAACTGTCATCGCTCCCATGACCAAAGCCTTATTACCTTCCTTTATTTGGTATCATGCCTTTGCAACAACTGTTTATCTTATAAATAGGCTACCAAGTTCTAACACTCATAATAAGTCTTCTTATCAACCTCTTTTTGGAACCTTACCTGATTATAAGCATCTCATAACTTTTGGTTGTGCCTGATACCTTACTTGAGACCTTATAATCATTCCCAGTTACTGCCTAAAACTACTCAATGTATTTTTCTTGGATATGTCCCAACCTATTAGGGTTATCTTTGCTTTGAATCATGTTCTATTCATTTTTACACTTCTAGGTATGTTCACTTTGATGAAGACACCTTTCCCTATGCTACCATATCATCTTCTGAACTTGTTCCCTCTTCTTCCATACTTGGACCACATTCTTCTTCTGCTATTTTCAATCCATTACTATAATTATCCTTTACTGGTGGTCTTGGATTTATCCATCCTGTACATTCTGAGTAGTCTGTCTCATCATTTTTTGATAGACAATCTGCATCTCATGTACAACCTGCTCAAACTGAGCCTTCTGTTCTACCTTGCTCATCATATGATAATTCATCTACTTCTTTGCCTTCTAACTTACCTTTGGACTCTAATTCTACCCTGGCCCCTCAGCCTATCCCTTTTACTAACCAACATTTTATGCTAACCAAATCCAAATCTGGCATCTTTATACCAAAAACATTTATAGTCATTGTTTCTTCTGCTGAACCTACGAGATTTACCATAGCTTCCAAGTTTACAGAGTGGTGCTCAACCGTGACAGAGGAGTTCTTACTTCTTAGCCTTACAAAAACAACATACTTGGACTTTAGTCCCTCCACTTTCAGACAAAAATAATGAAACTAACAATGATAGGGAATATTTATGGTAGGGGTAATTAGGCAATACAAAAAAAATTTGAAATGTGTACTTAATGACAATAATTTGATGAAAAAGAGGACTTAATGGAGTATAAGTATGATTGTGGTACTTAGAACTAAATAAGTTCTGAAAAAAATACCCACGGCCAAATATTCGTTCACTGTAACCATAGTTTTAAAACCCAGCTTGGCCCAACTGCTTGACCCAAAAACGTAGTGAATCGGCCACTAAATCGGGCCGATTATATAATTATCCTATGTTTGGTTTGATGGAAAGTATGGTGGATGGAAAATAGTGGAAGGAAAAATGGATGGAAGAAAAGGTTTTCAACTATTTGGTATGAAAGAAAAAGAGGAGGGCAAAGTAAAATTTGAGGGAAAGTCTATCTTTCTCGCCCAACACAATTTTCCCCCCCAAAAGTGGGCGGAAAGCTAAAGACCAGCTAATATTTTGCCTATTTTGACATTTTTGCCCTTGATACACTTCTTAAAATCTTGCTTCAATACCCACTTGAAACCTCTCATCTGAAAACTCTTCCAAGACAAGGGTGGACGACAAGGTACCCGACGGATTGAAAAATCGTCTACGCCAAGCCAAAGTTTGCATCCTCAAGTAGGTTTTGTCATTATCCTCCATTTTTTGCAGTCTAAATCAACTATGTTGATCTCTCTCTCTCTCTCTCTCTCTCTCTCTCTCTCGTTTTGTTGACAACCAAGGCTAATGTATCTTAACCCATTTATGTGGCCAGTGTTTAAGGTCATTTTTTAGGTCTCAATAGTATTATTTAGTTGTGAAACATTGTAATATTAGGTCAATTGTATTTCATCCAAACATCATGAATATAAATTTGGATACATATTTCACATGTTTTTAACATACCTATTTTACATAAATATTGTAGATGGATAAAGGAATTCCTACTCTAGTCCTTACATTTTCTTTTGTCAAAGTTATTGTGTGCTTTGTTGTATTTGTGATAGACTAATTCATGTACCTTTCATGCCTATTATTTAATTGGGTATGAATGTTGTGTTGTTGAATAACAACGGGTATTGTTATTTGATTAATTTTTTACTTGATTCATGTAAGTTTCATGCCTATTCTTTAATTGGGAATGAATATTGTGTTGTTGAATAATGACTTGTATTGCTATTAGTAAGACTTAAATAAGCTTAATTATGTTTTTGCTTGATTATCAAATTTGAGCTCTTTTAATCTTTCTATGTTTCCATTTGGCTTTCATTAAATGCTATAATCATTTTTCCCTAAAATTTTAATAGTTATAATAACTGAGATTTAATGTATTTTTAATGACTAATTCTTTCTTTATTACTGTACATTTAGTAGATGGATATGGAAGAGAGTTGAGAAGAATATTGGGAAAGAACTTTGGAAGATAATGAGGAAGATAATTGTGAGGACAATCTTATGCAACTTTTAAATATTTGAGAACAATGGCGACGCATGGTTGTGGTTCAAGTTGTTTGTTATACAGTCCATGTACTCTACTTGATTGGAACGATGTATCATTTATGCTATGTGAATAGGTCAATTGCCCAAAGTAGTGGAGAAAGAGAGAGTGTAAGGCAGGAACTCATGACACAACTCACTTATAATGACAAATGTCGTGATATTACACGCATGAGTCCATATGTTTTTGCTAGGTTGTGTGAGTTACTTCGAGGCACAAGTCGTCTCCATGATAACAAGAATGCTCTTGTTGAGGAACAATTGGTTAATTTTCTTTATTTACTTGCTCAAAGGTGACAATCTGGGAAATACAATTCTTTTTTTGTCAATCTGGTGAGACAGTAAGTCACCACTTCCATGATGTGTTGAAAGCTATTCTCACTTTGGAAGATCAATTTTTGAAACAATCTACCGGGTCAAAGGTCCCTTTCCCAATAGTGGCTAATAACATCTTTTATCCCTACTTCAAGGTAATATAATTTTTCCTTTCTCCTTGTGAGAATATCAATTTTCATACAACAAATTCTAAAAAATGTTCATACGTTTTAGGATTGTGTAGGTGCAATCGATGGAACACACATATGTGTGAAAGTATCTGAAGTTGACGCCCCAAGATATTGAGGTAGAAAAAATTTTTCAACATAAAATGTATTGGCNCTTACCTGATTATAAGCATCTCATAACTTTTGGTTGTGCCTGATACCTTACTTGAGACCTTATA